CTTCAGGATTACCTCCTGGGCTGATTGGCTGAGTTGTCTTTTAAAGGAGATGTTTAGATGTTTGTGTGCCAGTTGTTTTGCTGTGGGGATTCAGAGAGCTGCACCAAAGGGTGGAGGGGCAGCCTGAAAAGGGAACGCTGTGCCTTTAAGAGGCTGTGGCCATGTTTCTAAAGTTTCTGCCTGCCTTGTTTTCCACCAATAGCCCATTGACAAAGCTGCTAGGGCCTCAATGGAGAGTAAAGTGGTTCGGTAACAAGGAGAGGTTAGTTCTCTCTCTGTTCCTCTTTCACACATACGCACAAACAAGGAGCAACACACACTCAGGCACAGCCGCACATGAGCCAGACAACACGGAGGAGAAACAACATGCACACGGGAGGGAAGAAACTCTAAATAATGTTTGAATTTTGTTTAAATGCATACAAAAGGCATATCTGGTGTATGAGGAAGCTCATCCAGACTCTAATTTGCTCAGAGGAAACTAGCTGTGAATTGACGCCATATGTGTTAACGCTCTGCCTGCAAGGTGTTAGGAGCATATGCTTCCTATCATATATTCAAACAAGAATTGACCCCTGGAGTTCTCACACTCACACACAAGTACACTTGTCGTCTTGGTCACCCCTCGCCCGGCTGTCTGTCTGTCCACCTAAATGTCCCCGCTGCATTCTTGCCTCCCTTTCTGTGTGTGTGTGTTTATATTTCTACCTGTGTGTGTGCCTTCTCTGTGAAGGCAGGCCACCAGGGCTTTTTTTAATTGCTTCCTCCCTTCTTTGGGACCAAACTCTGTGAAGCAGAGCGGTCTCTGTCTAGAAAGAGTGGACTAGAGAGAGAGAGAGAGAGAGAGAGAGAGATGCAACAGAAGATTGTTGTGTTTTCCACTCTCATCCAGGTGATTTTGTTTTACTTTGAGGATTCTTGTGCATCTGCAAAGACGTGGAAGGGTTTAATCCCCAGTCCTCACACCTGTGAAGGTGAGGCGAAAAGCCACAGTATCAGGCTGTTTAGTCTGTGATGGGGATTAAGACCAGCTTCTGGCTTAGCTCAGATACACGACCCATCAAATCACCTCACAAACAACCCTTCTTCAAATAGATCCGCTTGAATTCTGAATTTCTTTAATTCCTCCAATTTACCAGAGGAAAGTTGATCTTGTTTTATCTGAGATGACGGTGTGACCTGGGTCTGTATTGTTCGCGAGGAGAAAAGAAAGATCATAAAAAGAGGTTCAGGAAGAAGACGGGGATGAGAGGACACAATAGGGGGGTTGGGGCAGGAAAAGGCTGGAAGGTTTATTGCTCGCTCTTGCTTTTTTTTCCTTCTTTTTCTGGTATTTTTTTTCTTGTTTCACTTGTTTCACTTGAACTGCATCTCCTCATTTCCCAGCAAAGTGCTGCGGTAGAGTGTTTTTACAACGTTTGTTTCCCTTCAGCTTAAAAGTGAAAATTTTTCCACACTTTGTTTTGGATAATTGCTTTTCTACTGGTTATTTTATCTTCACAATGCGCCGCTTGAAATGCTTGTTTGGGGAAGGAGGAGGAGGAGGGGGGACAAAAAGAGAAATGGGCTGTGTGTAAAAGAGGTGGTGTTTACTCTGACATCAACTAAACTCATCTTTCTTGGCAGGCTTTGGGTGAGGCATGACAGACATATACACAGACTCAAGCTGTCCAAATATGACGGGGCCTAGCAGTCGCACCACATGTGCCATAAAAAGTCAGTGTAGGACAAATGTGGAGGGGGGGGGGGGTGCACGGGCCACATGAACGCACAGTGGTGCTGGTTTGTTAAAATTAAACAGGATATGAACAGATCAAAAAATTAATTGATTCGAAGAAAGAAAAAGAGACGCTGGTTGAAGAATTAAAAAAAACACCTCAGAGTTTACGCAAATGGGCAAATGCACACGTGGGCATTTCAGGGTTTGGAGCAGTCTCTCTAAACAAACCTCAGCGTGGCGCAGCAGGTAAATGCTATAATTCATTGGAGTGCACACAGCAGCCCAGTTTGGGACAGAGAAAGGGAGCTCTATGAGGCATTATTGGAGGTGAATAGTGCGCGGTGGTGCCCCCAGCTAGATAAATAAACTCCCAGCGTTCAGGGCCCAAGACCTCACTGGTAGAGAGAACAAACAAGACCAGAGTCAACCTGGGTCACTTCTAAATGTTTACTTCACCCCCTTCCTTCCATCCTTAAGATCAACACTACCTCATTCCATCCTGTCTCAACTCCCCCCGCCTCCATCCTAAACATACATCAATATATGGACCCCCCCTTACAAATAAACACCCCGAACATCAATAACCTTACGCTACACACATGACTTTTGTTTACGTTGTACAGGAAACACAAACAAAGTTAGAAAACTTGCATTTTATTGACAAACAATCAAATATTCAGCACTGACTTGTCTGGTTTTGCAGCAGAATTTTGACAAAGTGAGTGCCGAACTACTGAGATTTCAGCATTCCTAGAAAGGCAACAAAGTTAGCAAAAACAGGATAATAAAACCTCAATCAGTATGACGTGGCACCCTTTCTTCTCTTTAGTGGACACCAACTTTTGTCTCCTGTCCAGGCGAAAATAAAGCAGCACCAGTCACCTTTAGAGTTTGCACCATTTGCGTCTGTCTTCAAGTGTAAAAAGTAAAAGAGAGCGAGCGAGACGGCGACTGAACATTTTGTTGGTAGTTGGGAGTGAAGAAAAAAAAAAGAAATGCTTCTTGTGCTCAATAAATTCATTTCTCGCGTGAATGCGACCAGCAACGTGGAAAAATTTTGCTTTTCAGGCAGGGAAGAATGTATGTTTCAACCACACATTAAGCAGTATTAGCGGTCAGTGGAGTGTCTAATGTGACTATTTTTCACAGTGGCCAACACTGGCCATGATTAGCATAATTAGCAGAGGCAAGGCTATACATATGGAAATAGAAAGTGCCTAAATGCCAACCGCGGTGGAAATTTATGTGTGGTGGCTAACGCCGCTGGCACATCTGAATAGAATGTAAGTGAAACTGATTTTTCATGTTGTTTTTCGCTGTTTTGATGGTTTCTGACTGCAGGATAGATGTTGACGAAGGACCTGCAGAACCGAATCAGACTCAGATTGATGATGCAGTCTTCTCGCGTGAAAGCACCAACTTAGATTTATCTTCTAAAATAACAGCACCTTTGACAGTTCACAAACAGACACACTGTATTTCTATAGGTGAGACACCAACGTGCCAGCGTCTCGGTCCTCGCCCCCCTCTCTCCATCCTCTCCCTCCCACAGTCGGCTTGGCCATTGTTTTACAAGCTGGGAAAGTTTTGGTCCATTTGTGAAAAAGCTCCTTTTTTATTCTGCTGTTTGTTGGGAAACATTTGAAAGAAATTGAAGGGTTGAATGACAAAAGGCTCTGCATTCAGTCTGAAGGATTGTGTGGAGGCAAGGCCCATCTGCTGGGAGCAGACCTGCTTTAGGCGCTGCCCTGGCTGGGAAATCCCGACTGTGGGGCTGGTCTGCGGACCTTGTTCCAATGGCTCAGCTTTGGTAAAGTGTGATAATACGTTTATGACATGGAGTTGAATTCTAACTTAAAGGAACTGTTCCTCTTGAATTGATCAAAACATCATTAGTTTCACCATCAAGTACACGCTCTCGTGCTGGCACGCCGTGTAAATGAGCTAAAACTCAACCACATAGCAAGAGAAAACATGCATGTCACTTTCAGCCTTCTTCATTTTTGGGTCTTCCTCTGTAGCAGCGTGGGGCCTTTCAGAGGCCCCTTAATTCAGCTAATCTACCACACGGAAGTTTGAAGGTGGCCTGATTTGACCTAGCATGGCCTGGCACTGGAACCTGGGCTGCAAGACACCATGAAGATGGAACAGAGACGCTTTAAAATGGTCTCGATTTGCTTCAGGTTTTAGAATCCACGTGTTTTTTTTTCCCACGAGTTTGAAATATCTCCGTGTTTGGTTCTTTGGGTTTGAAGGGTCAGGTGGGGAGGAAATAATGGAGGTCAGTGGAGATGGGGTCCAATGTTTACCTTGGTGTTCTCACGTGAAGGAAGACACAAGTGATACATTTTTGGATTAAAAGCGACGAAACCTTGTCAGGACTCTGCTTCTCAAAGCATCTTTGTTAACATTAAGATCACTTTTCCTGCAAAAACACATCAATATTGGGATCGACGTCTTTGGAGTGTGGATTTTTTCCTCAGTTTGGCTTCACATGGACAAACCATTCATGTTTTTGAGCACGGCGTGTATTAAAATGACCCGCCTCTAGTGTGTTAAAATCTCAATTTTCCATACTCAAAGGAGCTTTCTTCCCTGGGTGGGAAAACTTCTGGGAGCTGTCTCTTTAAGGGTGTTTGAAACACAGGCTTGAGCGAAAGAGGGGGAGAGAAGGGGGCAGAGGGAAAAAGGAGTGAGAAACAGACAGTCAGAAGGAGAGAAAGAGGGAAGAAAAGGATAAGAGAAACAAGCAAAGGTAGGAAAAAAAGAGTGAGGTTAGCTTGGTGGAGCGGTAGCGAGCTGGGTTTCTGTGAAGCAGAGTTGGGTGGTTGGGGCCGGACCAGGGGCCGAGGAGCGAAGGCGAGAAAGAGAGCAGAGAGAGAGAGACGACCAGCTGCCTGTGTGGTCCAGATGGGAGGAACGAGACACAAATAGCTATAATTTACTTCAGGAGGCCTGTAATTACAGAGCCAGAGTCTCTCCAAGCCACCCAGTTACTGTTGGGATCAAAACCCTGCACTGCAGAGGTTAACATACGAAATGTCAAAAAAGGTTTAACAGATGTCAGAAAAGGTCCGCAAACGGAAAAGCTTCCATTTTGTACAAGTCGTTTTTGATTGGAAATGTGTGGGATTGAAACTAAGGAGTCATGGCGTGCTGAACATGTAATCATTGCACTGCACTCGGTGTGATTTCCTTTTTTTTTTTTTTTTTCCTTTTGCAGGTATGATGACAGTGTGGAAATTATTTAACGAGTCAGATATGCTCCAGATTCTCCTAAAGCTTAAAGGATTCTGGTCCTTTTTACAAATACTTCAAGTAGGAATTCCATCATCATAAATATTAATATTAGTGAAAAAAGGTATACTCTTCTGGGGGCTCAGGGTTAGCTTTTTGTTTTCCAGATGCACTAACCTCGCCTACCAGAGGCCCTGCACACGTAATTAAAGCCTTGAAAGCGAAGCCTAGAAATTTTGGACTGTTTCTTCAAGGCCCAGAGTTCTAACCTGATCTCACACTTTAGCGGCGAAGCCTGAGTTGTTTGTTTTTCTTTTCTCCCCATCAATTATAGCGGCCTGTTCCAGGCTGGGGGAGGTGCAGGGAACGTGAGGGAAAGAAAAAGAGTGAGACTGATGGAGGGAGAGACCAAAGTAGTTGGCTTTAAAGAGTGAAAGAGATGCTCGAAAACAGGTAAAACCAGAACTGAGCACAACGCCGTGGACACAGACAGACGAGGATTTGGTTTTAAGGAGGTGGTCGGCCTTGTTTCCAAACTTTGCTGCGTCCCTTTTTTTTCTCCCCCTCCCTGTTTTTCTTTCTCTCTGGGGTTGTCATGCAGTGGGACAGCGAGAGGGGCAGACACGCTCTCTGTGATCCAACGCGGCATGTTTCATGTCCGCTTGGCACAGGCGCAGATCCCCCCGGCTGGCAAACTCTTTTCAGGGCAACCTCCTGTAATTAGGGGGCTGGGGTGTACCACACTGTGCAGCATAGCTCTCCTTCTCATTCTCTGGGTTTTTAAGCTCTTTCCAGCTCAGAACCTCTGAAATCCATATTTCTTTCTCCTCGTATCAGCTCACCCTTCTTTATCCCCTTGCGTCTCAATAGGTTCTTCCTTTCTTCTGCTCTCCTTTTCCGCTGTCCTCTCACTTTTTAGGGTGAACTTCTTTCACTCAAGACAACCATCAAGCGTTAGGAAGGCGTTTAGACGTAGATAAATGCACGTGAACAATGCTTTTCCATGAGCTCAGAGCATTTGAATCCATATCTGCGGCTCGGAGCAGCGCAGTAGAAGATTTCGGGGCATCAGAAAGCTGGTTTTGCTAACTAACAGGGCACATCTGTTTCGCAGAAGCAGCCAATGAGAAGCCGTGTTAGTCATTTCTCTTGGCGAGACACGGCCTTGTGTGAAGTGCCTTCAAAACCAACACTGGTGAAGGCCAAGGGCGTTGGTCAATATACATGTGTGTTCCTTTGTAAGTGTGTATGCATGGAGTGTGTATGTTTGAATCTCATTTTTGCACTTTGACTAGAAAGGACGTGTTTCTGTGCGCTTAATAAACGTCTTTTTCTCTTTGGTTGTCTTTTTTTTGTGTGTTTTCTAGCTGGCAGTCGGGTGAGTACAGAGCTCCGCTACACCAAGGAGAAGCAGGGAGAGGAGTCGGTGTTTACCTCACAGATGCTCATTCAGACCCCCAAAGAAGAGGGTGCTGATGTTCTTACCCAGGAGGCTTTGCTGGTTCATATGGAAGCCGCTCTGGCTGCCAGCAGGGTGCAGGTGTCACTGTTTGGAAAGTACGTGGCAAGACGTTTCTCACATTTAAGACATTTTGTCACTAATATCCAAGTTGTGATTAAACTTTCTTTCTTTTCTAATAGATCATGGGATCTTAATAAAATATGCTACAAATCTGGAGTTCCCATCATAGAAAATGTCATGATTGAAAGGGTATGTTGGCAAAAAAAAGGGGTTTTATTCCTCTGAGCACACATTTCTCACTGTTTTGTCATGTTTTAATAATTTCTGCTTTCTGTTCCTGATTCCAGATGATTGACAAGCTTTTCCCCTGTATGATAATCACACCTTTGGACTGTTTCTGGGAAGGGGCCAAACTACAAGGAGGTTCTGCCTATTTACCGTAAGTCTCTGAATATTTGATCCAACATAAACCTTTGCGCAACCGCCTCTGTCTCATCCACATCAAGCCTGTTTCAGGGGTCCACAACTTTTAGTGCACGCTGGATGGAGACATACAGTTGGGCTTTCAGAGGTCTGTCAGTGGGTGTTGTGACTGACAGCGGTGGTCAGTAATAGAGTTCTTTTAGGGTCCAAGAAGGGGGCTGGAGGAGGAGCGGAGGGGGAGTCCCTGACAGGGAAATTCAAAGAGAGAATGTTAGAGGAGAGATGCTGCAGGAACGAGGGAGGGATGGAGGGAGAGGAGGTGGCTGTAGCAGCAACTGGGTGGTGGGTTGGTAGAACGGAGGGCGGGGAGGCGGTGGCAGCGGTGGCGGTGGCAGGGGAACCCTTTGGGTCAGACAATGGTAAGCATTCTTTCAGTTTACGAGTGAGTGTCCATCAGTGCAGGGGCCCCAGAGTAGAGGGGGGGGGGGGGGGGCGGCTTTGTCAGCTCACGGCTAACACTCGGCATTCTCATGGTAATGCCCTGGGCTCCCAGCTCCCAAGTTGTCCAACAAATAAAATGGGCAGCATTCAAGCCTCAAGTCCCCCAAGAAGGAAGGAGAGAGGCTAAAAGACAGCTAACAGTGGAATCTGGGCGTTTTCACAGATTCATGGTTTTTTTTTCTATCTCCTTTTTTCGGTGGAACAAAGTTCTCTTGAGAAATAGTCGCTGAAAGGGATTCCTTTTTTTTTTTGTCGTCAGAAGTGATATTTCAATCGAGTGCTTACTTTAGAAAGGATAGTTTAGATCATAGCAGATGTTTCTGTGCAGAGGAATTATTTGTTTATACATCCGTCTGAGCCCACGGTGCTGTGTTGCATGACAAGCCGGCGCGCACAGAAACAAACATGAACGTTCCCATCCTCAGCATCTCCCAGTTGGTTTGTGCGACTGCACCAGAGAGGGAGAAGGGGGTCTTTGATGATTCACACGTCATCCAAGCATTCCTGTAATCCGTACAAAGTTTTCAACATCTGTTGTTATTTATTAAGTGTTTATTACTGAGGGTTTTTTTTTTTCATGTGGAACTGAGTGGTGAGTGACAGCAGTGCTGATTTAGGGGACTTGTTTGAAATGTAAAAGAAGAAAAAGAGAATGCAATCGAGGGGAGACGGAGAAAATGGGGTTAGGAACAAAAAGCAAAGCAGCAATCTGGTTCAGTCAAGCAAAAACGAGTTGCAAAGGAGAATCTTTACAACTGGCGGAAAAAGGAGTCTGGCATGTGGGACTGGGGAAGAGCTACGTGAGCTCTGGAGATACTTTTGGATTATTTTATTCTATTTATGATCCCAAAGAACAGAAATGAAGCTTCGTAAGTTTCAAAGTCCAAGCAATTGAAATATGTGTTGTTTATTAGAATCATGAGGAAACATGCAAAAAGCTTAGACATCCCCAATAAAAGAAAATAAAAGTTGCGCAGCAGCATTTAATTACTCTCCTCCATCCCTAAACTTCTCTTTCTTCCCCCTCTTCCCAACCCGAGTCTCCCTTCCTATCAAGATGTTTGGGAGGCAGAGGTAATCATTATGACTCGGTGCAGGGCACTGAGGAGTGAGAGTGAACAGGCAGCCACCGAGCCTTTTTCCCGGGCTTTGTGGCAGCGTGAAACATGATAATAAACGCTATTTTATCCTGTATCTGCAGCTGGCCTCCTGTGTAGGTCACTGCAACAGAGAAACAAAAAAAAAAAAAAGAAGACCTGATAGATCCTGTGTACGCACTAAAGATTAGCAGTGAAGGAGTGAAGATTAGAGCAGATCTCTTTTGCTTTCGTGACCACGTTGCTTCGGGTTGTTGGTGACCGTTTGAGTTTTCTCTGCAGGGGCATGCCAGATATCCAGTGGATGAATTTAGATCCTGTCAAACTGATGGAGGAGCTAAGCCAGTTCACTTCCCTGGAAGGGTTTAAAGAGATGCTGGACAAAGCCCAGGTGAGAGACTAACTCATTCATTGACCTCATGAAAAGTTGTCTCACTCCAGCCATTTCTTCAGCTACTTCAATTTTTTTAACTCTGTGTTTATTCCTCAGGTGGGACACGCCTACATGAACAGGCCGTGTCTCGACCCGTCAGACCCAGACTGTCCTCTCAGTGCGCCCAATAAGGAACTAGAAGAGGTGCGTTTATGTGTGCAAATTCAACTTGAGTCCTTTTTACAAATCAGATGTAGCATGAAAGCAAAGCAGCGCTGAGCTAATAACAAATCCTGCCTTTTGCTCCACTCTTCTAATGCCTGTCCATTCAGAGTCCTGACATTGCTGGGCGTCTCCAGGGTGGTTGTCATGGTTTCAGCCGGAAGTTCATGCACTGGCAGGAGGAGCTCATCCTGGGAGGGCGGGTCAAAAGCAGCCAGGATACTCTACTGAGGTGTGTATGTCTTAAAGACAGAGCAGAAAAATCATGCTTTGCTAGTTTCGAGTGATTTCACATTTCATTTAGCCTGATGTGAGGTTAGGAGAGTAGTGAAATAATGCAATATTCACCAGCCAAGCAGATGGACAGTACGTTGGAGAGTCTGTTTAACCCCCCATGCACTGTGCAGACACATGCAAGGAATGCCTCGAAGCGAGGGATCGGTTTCCCGACTGACCCCGCTCTTGGATAGGCTAATTAAAGATGATTGACAGCCACATAAAGCCTCCCACTCCGCTACACAGGAACAGGGAGAAAAACATGTTTATCTGTAGCTGGCCCCGGTTCTCTTTATTAGAACGTCTCAAGAGTCGTGCATTTTCCTACTGTCATCAGCTGGATTTAAAGACATGGTCAGAACAAATGAAGTGACAGCACTGGGTCAGAGGCCAGACTGAGACCCACGCAGACTCAAGAGAGCCTTGAATGAAAAGAACGCTCCAGCTCCATCTGCATTAGCCTCACGTATTATTTGGTCTGATTTATGGTCACTTCTTTAACATTTCGAACTGTGGTGCTGTTTGCTGAGCTTATGCTAAAAAAAATGGAGGACATCTGGGTTTGGAGCACAGAAATCATCAATCTAGATAACACCTGCTTTTATTTGTTTGCATTGGACGTCAGACAGACTGAAAAATCCTACAAGACACAGCACCAGCCTTTAGACATTTACAGAAGCTGAAGGACTTTTATTGTTCTAATTATGAGACAGATTAGTCCCTATAATTAGCCTTATTTTGGGGCATTGAGGATCTCGATAACTCTGATTTGTTCTAATCTGGGCGATGTGTTTTGCAGTGCGGAAGCTCTCCAAAGCATGTTCCTGTTGATGAGTCCCAAACAGCTGTACGAGCACTTTAAAGACGACTACGAGATCCACGACATCAACTGGAACGAAGAAAAGGCCACTGCTATCCTCGAGTCCTGGCAGAGGAAGTTTGTGGAGGTGTGAGCAAATTTCATGCATGACTTAAAAAAATAGAGATGTATGGATGAAGCTTTTTTTTAATCTTACACAGCTTTTGCTCTTGATATATACACACACACACATGCTCGCTTTCTGTCTTACACACACACACACACACACACACACACACACACACACACACACACACACACACACACACACACACACACACACACACACACACACACACACACACACACACACACACACGCACAGGAACTTCCTCTTCAGTGTTTGAATTCCATCGGTCTTCAGCAGCTCCCTTGTAAAGGGGATCATGGGGCAGAACAGGGCACAAAGTTGTGTGTGTGTGTGTGTGTGTGTGTGTGTGTGTGTGTGTGTGTGTGTGTGTGTGTGTGTGTGTGTGTGTGTGGCAGGGCAATCATCTCTCTCTGTCAGAGCCCTAGTTATAGGAACAAGCTGTTGCCGTGATAGCTGACACCCACCACTGTGAGGGTAAAGGAGGGAGGGAAGAAACTGGGGGGCATGTGGAAGGGAGGAGGGGTACGAAACTCCAACGTAAACTGACAGAGACATGAGACCTCTGCCTGACACGGTAAATGCACGAGCAGATCAGATCGAGACGGTGAGAGGTGCCTTGATATTTAAAGGTAGATGGCTTTCTTGGAACTCTTTGGTTCACTTCTGGCACAGAGAGAAGAGAGTAGTAGCCTGAAACATGTGATCCCATCCTTTTCACCTTTGACCTCACAACCTCTGGCATCTGTGCTCATTACTCCTCAGTTGTCACACACCACACACACACACACACACACACACACACACACACACACACACACACACACACACACACACACACACACACACACACATGCTGCCACATGTTAAAAAAACACACACATTCACACTCTCATACTCACTTTCCATAAGGGTTTTTCAAAGCAACATGGGCTTTTCTTCATTTAAGGAACCAAATTTCAGGCTTGAACTATGACTGGTACTGTTGGACCTCAGTTCCAAAAGAGAACAAACATTTGATTGTTTCTTTTGTCTAACAAGTTCTGGTTTGTTTTGAATTGTTTTTTGTTGGCATCACAAGTTCAAAAACAAGGTTTTAAGGATTTTTTTGCTTCTCTTGCAGGTGGTTCACCAGAGCGTCCCATCCAACTCCACGCAGTCCATCCACGCTTTCTCGACCACAACCCTCAATGACATCATGAAGTCCTTCTCTGATGTCAGCGCTATCAGGGTGGCTGGAGGATACTTGCTCATGGTGATTAACTCGATCTCTTTTCTCCCAGTTTCTAAAATGTTTTTGGACAAAACGTGGTGTTTATGTGTGAATCTTCTCTCCAGCTGGCCTATGCGTGCGTAACAATGCTCAGATGGGACTGTGCCAAGTCCCAGGGGGCTGTTGGACTGGCGGGAGTGCTGTTGGTGGCCCTGTCTGTGGCAGCAGGTCTGGGTCTCTGCTCTCTCCTTGGTCTCTCCTTCAATGCTGCAACCACACAGGTACGATGCAAAAGGAACCACATGCATTTGGAATATGAATAGACCCTTAGAGGGTGTGTGTGTGTGTGTGTGTGTGTGTGTGTGTGTGTGTGTGTGTGCGTGCATGCGTGCGTGCATGTGTGTGTGTGTGTTTTTTTGGGGGGGTAATGCTTTGATTTAGAGCCGAGAATTTGATGTTGACTTACTTCAAATGCTCAGTCTGACCCTTTGCCCTGCATTGATGTTTCCCATCCCAGGTGCTTCCCTTCCTGGCGCTAGGAATTGGCGTGGATGACGTGTTTCTGTTGGCTCACTCCTTCACAGAAACAGGAAGTAATATCCCCTTTAAGGTACTTTGGAATATCTCTTTTAGACTGCTTCCCTCTTGGCTGCTCTCCTGTGTTCCCTATCTCATACATGTGTTGTTCAATTTTCCCACGAAGGAGCGGACCGGAGATTGTTTACGTCGCACGGGCACCAGCGTGGCTCTGACATCTATAAACAACATGATCGCCTTTTTCATGGCCGCCCTCGTGCCCATTCCTGCTTTGAGAGCTTTCTCGTTGCAGGTAGGTTTGGGGCGTTCACCCTCTAATGCATGCGCAGAGACACACAACAAGAACACAATTGCACAACGTGAGGCCTGAGGCTCCTTTGTAAATGAAAGAGATAACTTTAAAGGGGTGACACTGATTCAAGGGCAGGAAAATGTTTTGTTCCCTGTTGTAAAGGCACTGCACCTAGAGGGCCAGCTTTGTGTGTGTTTGGGAGCGTGTTCTAGCATGCATGTGGGAGTGTGTTTGCGCGAGTGTATGTGCATGTGTATGTACTGAGCAACGAACTGACTTAAAGAGGCAGACGAAGAGAAAAAGAGAAGGAGGGAGGAGTGGATCAGTATATCACTAGCCCGTCACAGCGGTTTTCTCTGATCTGTGACTAAACTGTGGGTGGTCTGAAACACACACACACACACACACACACACACACACACACACACACACACACACACACACACACACACACACACACACACACACACACACACACACACACACACACACACACACACACACACACACAAGTAGACGTACACACACTGGAAACCACAAAATAGAATGCCAACTTCAGAGTCTGGGATGTATGGGAGGGGTGGAGGAAGTTCTGGAGAAGGATAATGGTTTTGCTCAGACTCTCAACAGATACCCCCCCCACCACCACCACACACACACACACACACACACCACCACCACTACCACCTCTGTTCTTCCTTTCATTCTTTCAAACATTTATTTCTCTTTTTGCTGTCCCTCTCTTCCCTCCTGGCTCACTTGTATTCTTGGTTGTTGATTTACGGCAGGGCTTGTCTTTACTCGGGGGTTGTGCTCCTGGACCCAAATAAAGGAGACTTTTCTGATTTTCCCAGCTGAGGTTGCATATATTACTCAAATTTCTCTTTTTTTTTCCCTTCTTCTTCTCCTTGCATTTTTCTCCCTAGGCGGCCATAGTGATGGTGTTCAACTTTGCCATGGTGCTGCTCATCTTCCCTGCCATCCTCAGTTTGGACCTCCATAGGCGGGAAGACAAGCGCTTGGACATCCTCTGCTGCTTGTACAGTCCGTGCTCCGATCGCGTCATCCACCTCTCGTCTCATGAGTTGTCGGACGCTGGCGAGCAGCCTCAAGCTTCCACGACAGGGGCGTCGCATCCACACCAGTACACAGCCGGTTCCACAATCACCACCAGCACCCAAATCACCACAACGGTGCAGGCGTTCACGCAGTGTGATGCAGCGGGGCAGCATATTGTCACGATACTGCCTCCAACGTCACAGATCTCCACCAGCCCTGCCTCCATCATCGTCTGTCCCACCTCACAGTCTCAAGGTATTACTCATACCTCAGATTCTTCTTTTATTTTATAGAAATGATGTGCCGAAGTTAAAGACTTTTTCATTCTCTGCTTTTAGCCATCTCGCCTTCCCCTACCACCACCCCTGTGTCAGACCCCTACGGCTCCCAGCTCTTCACCCCTACCTCCAGCTCCACACGGGATCTCCTTGCCCAGGTGGAAGACTCCAAATCTGGGAAGAAGTGTGTCCCTCTCCCTTTCCTGCACTGGAACCTGTCCAGTTTTGCCAGAGAAAAATATGCCCCTTTGCTCCTGAAGCCAAAAAGCAAAGTCATAGTTGTTGCTCTCTTCCTGGGATTACTGGGTCTCAGTCTGTATGGGACCACCATGGTGCACGACGGCCTTTACCTGACTGACATTGTGCCCCGTGACACCAAGGAGTATGACTTTATCGATGCCCAGTTTAAGTACTTCTCCTTTTACAACATGTACCTTGTGACCATGGATGGATTTGACTACGCTCGATCTCAGCGGTTGTTGATTCAGCTGCACAATGCCTTCAACTCCGTTAGATACGTGGTCAGAGATGACAACAACAGGTTACCACGCATGTGGCTGCACTACTTCCAGGACTGGCTTAAAGGTAAAAAAAAAAAAAAAGGCATGACCAAAAACTTGTTCTCTTGGTTTTCTTTGAGAGGAGTGGGTTCGGGGCTGAGAATGTGCAAAGGGTGAGTGAAAGTTCACTCACAAAGTTTATTTTTTATTTTTTTATTTTTTTACCTCCACCTGGACTCAGGGGTGGCATGGTGGATAGGTTGAGGTCAAAGGTTATCGTCCCATGTGTGTGTGTGCAAATGTGTATGTCCTTAGGTAATGTGTCAGAGGCTCAGTCAAGAGGAAGTAATAGTTAACAGGCCAACCGAGGCCAACTAAAGGGGAAAAAAAAAGAGGAAACATGATATTTCACGTTTTCAGCGTTAGTGCAAATGTGATCTGGAAGTCCTTTCTGTTGTGATGGAAATAAAAATGGAGGTATTTATAAATAATAATTCTTCCTCTTTGGGTGTTTTACCTCACACGTAGGTCTTCAGTCTGCTTTTGATGCTGACTGGCAGGCAGGCAGGATCACCGCTGACAGCTACAGGAACGGCACGGAGGATGGAGCTCTGGCGTACAAGCTTCTCATTCAAACCGGCTCCAAGAAAGAACCTTTCAACTACAGCCAGGTAAGTAAGGGTCAGGACCTGCACAGAAGCTCTTAAAACAGAGAAACAGATGTTATTGTTGTGGGATAGTCTGTGGCTTCATGAAACACTGAATGCCCCTTTTGAATCATAACTTTTTTCTAGCTGACCACCCGCCAGCTGGTGGATGCCGACGGTCTGATCCCCTCAGAGGTGTTTTACATCTACCTGACAGTTTGGGTCAGCAACGATCCTCTGGGCTACGCCGCATCCCAAGCTAACTTCTACCCCCACCCCAGAGAGTGGATTCATGACAAGTACGACACTACGGGGGAAAATCTGCGCAGTAAGTGCTTTATCTTGTTTGAATAACCTGTGTGGAGAAAACACTTTGCTCTATGATCCCAATGGGATATTTGTAATCTCCCCTCGCAGTTCAAGCTGCAGAACCTCTGGAGTTTGCTCAGTTCCCCTTTTACCTGAATGGCCTTCGCCAGGCCAGTGACTTTGTGGAGGCCATTGAGAGTGTGAGAGCCATCTGCGATGAGTTTAGTCGCAAGGGTGTGCTCAACTACCCAAATGGATACCCCTTCTTGTTCTGGGAGCAGTACATCGGCCTCAGACACTGGTTCCTGCTGTCCATCAGTGTTGTCCTAGCCTGCACTTTCCTGGTGTGTGCACTTCTCCTGCTCAACCCCTGGACAGCTGGCATCATTGTAAGTCAACAATGCAACTAATTGGCTGCTGTTTACACAATCATTGTGTATTTTTCTTCATTTTGCAATTTACTCTAACTCAGCATTATTAACTTCTTCATAACCTCCTTTTTTTTCATTTGTAGGCTGCTGGAGGACTTGTTAACATTTTGTTTCCTTGTGTGTTCTAGGTGTTTATCTTGGCCATGATGACTGTGGAGTTGTTTGGTATCATGGGCCTGATTGGCATCAAGCTCAGTGCCATTCCCGTGGTCATCCTGATCGCCTCGGTGGGCATCGGAGTGGAGTTTACTGTTCATATTGCTTTGGTAAGATTCAGCATGGAGGTACAACACATGTGTGGGTTGTTAGGAAGACTAGAGCAGCTAGTGTTTTTCATATGTGTAGCTTTGCTAAAACTGTGGAAAATGTGTTTTTAAACATAAAAAAACAATTTTCATCATTTTACAGCTGAAACTTTTGTTCTTTTATTTGTTAAATATGTGTGATTGCAAATGTAGTCTTTTGTTTGGTTTCTTAGTCAAGCATAGTGATACCCAGAACATGCCAAGCCCCACCGCAAACACGTTCTGTGTGATCGGAAAGATTTCCAACTTATTTCTCCCTCCCCTCTGCCACAGGGCTTCCTGACAGCGATTGGCAACAGGAACAAGCGCTCGGCGGTGGCGTTGGAGCACATGTTCGCCCCAGTGGTTGACGGAGCCATCTCCACACTGCTGGGTGTTCTCATGCTGGCAGGGTCAGAGTTTGACTTCATCATGAGGTAAGTTGTGATATAGAAATGTGTGTGTATGTGTGTGATTAGCTTTATTTGGAGGGAATCCCTGTTTGTGATGGAGGCTGCATGCGGGTGGAAATGTTACCTCCTCCCGATTTATGCACACATTCAACCTGTGACAACCCTGCAGTTGGTTCTGTCACTCCACACACACAATCGTGTGCATGCACGTGCATATGCACGCTCACATGAATGCACGCTTCCCCAACCTCAGAGTGCAACAAATGGGGAAAACATTGGTGGTGTGTAGCAGCTGCTTGTAAACATGGAAGTGTTCTGCTACCCACTGGGTGGTGTCTCTCTCCTCAACTCTCTCTCTCTCTCTCTCTCTCTCACACACACACACACACACACACACACACACATGGGAAACTGTAAAAATTCCTATCATCCATTTGGCATTCTCACCCGCCACGCTCAATGCCGTAATAAAAAGTGGAGCTAAATTTGAACTGGTCAGCTTAGTCAAATGGTTTGCAGCCCACCAACAGACAGCATTCCCTCCTCTCCCTGCAACTGTCTACAAAGTTGAGGTCTTGTGTGTGTGTGTGTGTGTGTGTGTGTGTGTGTGTGTGTGTGTGTTTTCACTAGTTCATGGTCAAAATGTGTGGGGGGGGGGGGGGGGGGGGGGATTGCTCCATGTTTTTAAGCTGAATGTGGTTTCGGCTCATACCCAAAACCACAGCCTTGAGCTCACAGGCTGCACCAGCAAAGTTTTCCTGAAGAAAGAGAGACAGAAGCAGGAGGAGGACAGGAAAGGTGGTTGATCGGTAGATAGTAGATAGATCTTTTACAGAACTGAAAATATAGAGAACGGAGGGATAAAAACCATAAGTTTGATCGTTTCTAAGGGGACACCAAAGCCGTTTTTGGCATACTGGTTTTTGTGCGTCAGAGGACGGGGTGAGACGGAGGGGCCTAGTCTCTGTTGGAGGTCTTGTTTAGCTGCAGTCGGGTAAACGGGGTGATCTAACACTGGCTAGCTGGGGAGTAGGATAAATACACTGCTGTAAACATCTCCTGGCCTTAACACACTGAATAAACAGCAGGCTCAATTCAACCCTGCTCAGAGACTCCATTTTCTCAAAACACACACACACACACTCAAATAAAGCATGAATGCTTATTTGGACACATGCAAACAGAATACGGACACATTCCTGACAGTGACACTGTTGGAGGTCCCAGTGTTGTCTCTTTCTGTCTTCCATCCTCACCACGTCTCATTTTTCTCCGCCATGTTAAACGTTTCTGTGCAAAATGACAAAAAGGAAACCAAAAAGCATTTTCTTGTAAAGTGATGATTAATGGAAGCTGTAGATGACTGAAGTATGACCTTTGCCAAATGAGTTGTAATCATTTCAGCAGTTCGTTCAAGCAGAAGAGTGTTTCCACAACACTCCACAGCTTATTATCCATGCCCTTTCTGACTTTTTTCCCCTCTCGTACCAACATCATCTCTCCATTTTCCCTCTCCTTCCTTTTTTTTTTCTTTTACCTTTTAAAGTCTGGCTGGTGGTTAGCATCTCTCTGTCTCTCTCAATGCTTTCTGTTAGTGTTTAAGTCCTCTCTAATTTTCTTGGGGAGCTCTTTCTTGTGGCCTGCCTCCACCCCTGGCCTCCTTGGAGCTCAAACCGAGATGCACACACACGCACACAGAAACACACACACATGAAAGAAATATTAAAAAACACACACATGCACACAGAGTGAGAGAAAGTCTTGTAGCAGCAGCACAGTGGCATCAAAGCATGCTTAGGTTGAGGGAGAGTCAGATTTAACCCTCCCACCCCAACCTCACTTCCCATGCCTTTGATATAAAAGCATTGGGCTTTCCCTATTTTCTTCCCTTGAGCTGTCTCTCTTCCTTGTGTGTGATCTAAGTGTGTACATTTAAAGTCGTGTGTGCACATGTTTATTTGAGTGTTTTTGCTCACATCAAACATCTGGTCATGTGGTCTAGCATAAAAAGACAAGTCAATAAAATAAGTGTGCAAACAAACAACATCAAGGTAAATAGAAATTGCCATTTTAGATTTACGCTCTAAAGGATGACTTCTATCTGGTTTTCCTGCAGGTATTTCTTTGCAGTCCTGGCCATCCTGACTGTTCTGGGAATGCTGAATGGTTTAGTCCTCCTCCCAGTTCTCCTCTCTATGATGGGCCCTCCAGCTGAAGTCACACCCGTTGACAATGCCAGCTGCCTGCCAGCACCTTCCCCTGAACCTCCGCTGCCTCCTCCAATGACCCACCATGGGTTCTACACAGGCCACCACAACCCGCCGTCGGCGTGTCAGCAAGCCTTTTCAGAGTCATCCGATTCAGAATACTACTCTGAACTGACCACAACGTCGGGAATCGGAGAGGAGGATTATAAGTACTGTGATCGGAGTGCATTACAAGGTTTGCACACCGGCGTTCCTCCCGCAACATCACACATCCTGCTGGAAGCCAGCAAAAACCCCAGCTTCCCCAAACTCAAGGTACACACCACAAATGCTCTGGATCTCAACTTTGCAAAGTCGTCCAAAATTTATGTTTCTATCTCTAAAAATGTGTTGCTGCAGGTGGTGAAGCCTTTCAGGGAAAGTACCGTCGGTGGGAGGGTGGAACCCAAGTGCGAATTCTCCCACAATGCACATTCACCTCTCGGCTCCCAGGTTACCTGCTGGGATGGAAACAAGCAGGAGCGGCAGAGCGGTCTTCCGAGACTGCAGGCCCAGCCTGCTCAAAATGTACCCAGCAACAGAGCTCACTTTCCTGGAAGGACTCCTCAAAGCGGCCCCAGGCTTCAGAACAGCAGAGGGCCTCAGCCAAACAGGACTAAAGGGCCGAGCTACAGTCACAGCAACTCTGCACAACAAGGCTCTGCTGGGGGACCTGTTACCATGGTTACAGCCACCGCCTCTGTGACAGTGGCTGTGCATCCAACCTTACCAGGGGCGGTGTACCAAGGCTACATGCATGAAAGTTTTGACATGGACAGTGAGTTGGACTGTTTTGAAGCTGCTAAAAGGACTTGTGGAGACAAAACAAACTACTCTTCATGTAAGAGAGACTCTCTAGAGCTGCAGGACTTGGAGGAGACTCAGAAAAACACAAGGTGATTTTAGTTTGGAATTTTCTTCGGGTGTATAAAAACACATCAAGACAGAAAGTGAGGATTGGCTGACTCGTTTTTCATCACTAATCCATCTCTGTCTTATGTGTGCTGCAGGTGAACGGAGGATCCAGGCATCCAAAGCCTGCTAGACCCTTTCACACACCGTGTCCTCTCACGTCAAGTCTCTCAACCTGTACATAGACTACACACAGACAACAGAGGACTCACATCAAGGACATAAATCTATGATATAAATCTACGAGTATATATTTTAATACTAAAAACAAGGGAAGCTATTTAAGAGTACTGTATAACTTTGGGTATACTCTTGTGTAAAGATGTAAAAGATTATTTTTATGTTGGGTGGTTTGAATTTTTCTTTTCCACCTCGTTGTATAGAATAAGAAATGCTCTATATGTTTTCACAGAGAAGTGAGATCTTATTAAGGTATTAGGCTATTGAGCATACATGGTCAGTGTTTTATAATGATGTTTGTTTTGCTGCTACACTTCAGAATGACTTCTTTTAGTCAATTTGCCTTAAAAAGTGCAGTACCCAACCCTAATTTAAGGCGAGTAAATACCTTTCACAGTATTACGCTGTGAGAAACTGCATCTTGACACACTCGTCTGTGTGTTTGCCTTTCACAGCACGCAGATACTGTTCACCGGACAGCAGTAACCGCCGTGCCTTTCGTACGTCATTATCGCAACGTTTCAAGCTCAGTATTAAATCCTCACGTTGTTGTAAATGTGTGTTTGTCTTGTTCAGATGCAGGGGGAAAAAAATGTTATTCATCACCCTCTGGTTTAATGTTGCCACCATTCTAACAGCATCACACCGAACCCTGATCATGTTTTTATTTATTACTAAATCTGAGTCAGGTTGTCCCACCGTCCTCTGCAGTTTGAAACTACTTGAAGGGACTGTGATGCGTTTTTTCTTCTTCTTCTGCAGTTTCTTGTAAGCTCTAATATGGGCGGTGTTTATTTTTGTCACCTTGTGTTATTTTTGAAAAGGGAATTGTAAAATGCAAAGGGATTTATTTTATTTATTTTCACCTTTTTCTTTGCCGACTGCTTTTAGAGGTGTAAAAGTGCCGCGTTGTCGCGACTCGCCAATGTTTCCACACCAGTTGCTTTGACTCGCTTTCTAATTTCTCTTGATAAAGTAAAACTCACACGTTTCTTTTTTTTCTTTTTGTTTATTTTAGGATTCTCAATCAGCTCGCTGCACAAACTATCACACGTTCAGTATTGGTCTCGTCACTGCCAGGTTAAAACTGCAGGGATAAACGTGCAGATCTGTCGTTTTTGTGTCACAATTTTACTGGCAGCTGTTTTTATTTTTGTAAATATGAAAGAGGAGTCAAGTAGCTACTGCAGTTTTGAATAATAAAGCAATAAAAGCACCATCTACATTTCAGTCTGGCGATTTGGAGGTGATGTCACATCCTGGTGAGGGGGGGTTTGTGGGGGGGAGGGAAAGCTCCTGCATTGGTTTATTTCAAAAGAACTGTTAATGTCATGCCATATAAATTATTTATAATAAAATTTTTATTTTTGTAGTTTGTACAGATGCTAGTATGTAGACTGAAGTTCTATTTTTAAAGAGTAAATATATATTATATATATAAATATATATAATTATATCTATTTGTTGCTGCGTTTGTTCAATTATTTTTTTGTTTGTTTTTTTTTTGGAGGGAGGGGATGACTACAGATGACTGCAGAGGCCCTTTGTTGTTGTTTTTGTTTGTTTGTTTGGAGCAAAGGGGGCAGTATGAGGACAATGAAGGAGAAGGTGTGTGTAGGAAAATGTTACACCATTTGTTTTACTCCTTCCTTCTTCATTGTCATTTTAAGATGTTCTTGTCCACGTCTGAAACACTGTGACTTCTGAAAACTATGCTCAAGAAAAACTCATATGTGACCGTGATGTTCCCTCACCTGTTATAGAAATTGAACTAACAAAATAAATTCAATGAAAATGTGATTCTTCTCATGTTTGCCTTTGTCTGAGTGTGTGTTTGTTGTATTGTTTTATCTTGGAAAGGCTAATGGAAAGGTCAGTGCTGTTCTCATGGCTGTGGAGGAGCTAAACAAACTGACAGTGTTGCAGTGCTGATGCTGAATATCAATAATCATTGAGAGTGTCAAACAAAAGGTTTAGCTGGGTTTTTCAGCTTGAAATCAAAAATTTAAACAACTTTTTTTAAGAAAAAATTTAATTAATACTAATCCATCATTTGGCCTCTCTACACATTTGTTATGAGCAGAATAAAATAAAGTATTTATTCTCTAATTATTGTTGTTTTGTTGTTTTGTTTCTTTATGGTACCTAAGGAGTTGGACAGACTCCCTAATAGTTTGAAAAGGGTTAGGGTGAAAATGCCTATTAGTTTTTTTATTTTATTTTTTTTTTTATATATTTTTCAGCAGGAGGCTAAAATTGGCTTTTTGTCGGCAATAATGAATGGACATAAATGGTATGTATACGTATAGCACATTCTTATGCTTTAACTATGCCCCAAGGTGCTTCACAGCACAATTATTCACCCATCCACACACAAGTTCACACGCTGGTGATGATGAGCTACAATATAGCCACAGCTACCCTGGGGATCTCTGGCAGACTGCCGAACACAGGCACCACTGGTCCCTATGGCCACCACTAGCAGGCAAGGAGGGTTAAGTGTCTTGCCTAAGGACTCAACAGAAGCTTTCTCTGGCAGGAGCCAGGATTGAATCTGCAACCTTCTGATTATTGGACAACCCAATTGACCTCCTGAGCTACTGCTGCTGGATCTTTGATATTGTAGTGTGATGTTCTGAAATATCAATTAAGGGACTGCAGATGGTTTAGCTTTTAGCTAAAGCTGGCTCCTAAATAAATGGAAAGAAAAAATGTTACATCATAATAAGACAGAATTGTTCTACTTCATGAGATTAAAATCTACTAGTTCTGAAAAGATAAAACTGAAATCAGCTCTGATAGAGGTCCCAGCTTTGCTGCCCGGTCCAGAGGCCCCAGCTGCACCACCTTGAGGAATTCCTGCCTCCTTCCGAGGAGCTCCAGCATCCTAGATTCCTGCCCCTGCCTCTTTTACTGTTTGGTTCCTATTTTGGGTGTCAGGAGCTGCCTTTAAAGGGGGCGGGGTTACTGTCAGGATCTGTTCCTGCAGCTCCTTAGTGTCTCTTATGGATTGTCTCCTCTCATTAAGTGTTAATTTCACTGACCTGCCCCCTGTTTCCCTACCCACCTGTTTCCCTGATTATCCATTGTGCAAAGACCTAGTTTGGACATTCTCCAGACATGTTCTGGACTGACGGACTCAATACAGACATGCAATGCACGCCCATGATGTGACGTTGACTGTTTGCAGGGTTAAACCCTTTTCTTGTGTCAGATCCTCGTCTTGTCTTCCTGTCATGTTATCCTCCCTGCCTTTATCCAAATAAAACTGTTCTTTTTGCCAGCCAGTCTGCTTCCTGTGCCTGCTCTCCTGCATTTTGGTCCAAACCAAGAAATACAATGAAACACAAAACAACCCAAACATAAACCCTTGTTTACTTGAACATTCATGTTTTCGTTTCTAACCTTAAACCCAGAATTGTGACAATATGTGTTTTAACCTCAGTGTAAAAGCCGTTTTATTTTGAGACCCAGCGCATCTAATAAAAAATGATTACCTCCGACTTCTCTTAAACGCTGAAACGCTTCTACAGGCCCACCTGTGTAGATGAAAGGTAGTTGCTGTAAATTCCTCCCCTTTTCACATAACTGCCCCTCGTTTGTCAGCCCAAGGCAAAGCAGCCCATGTCTGAATCTGATACCTCTGTCTTTGAAGTTGTTTCATGCACATCCACTTCTAAACCAAACAGTGTTCCACAATGTCATGTAACAGTCCAGCACACTGAAAAGGAAAGGTACCATTTCACTTTAGCATGACAAGAAATTTGCCAACTGAGTGATGTTTTCATGTTGTATTCAATGTCACAACTCTCGAAGAACACATTGAGTCCAGTAATTAGACATGGTAGATCCCATTTGGATGAAATGTTAGACAAACTGGAAAAGGTTACGATATGTGTCACGATGCTATGGAACTCAAAAGTATTCAGAATTCAATAAATAAATAACACATTATGAAATAAATATCTACATGAAGAAATACTAGACAATCATGTAATCTGACAATGAAATGATGAAATAACAGAATGTTATGTAAAATCTAAGCTCAATATTATGAAATATTTTTCATTCTTCTTTTAAAATGTCTTTATTAATATAATGTTTTTTTCAAAAGTCATTTTTCCAAAATAATCCAAATTAATATTGAGCCAGTTTTATTTAATTCTTTCAGTTTTTATTACATAACGTCTTTTTAACAAAGACAGCTTTTATTTCATAATAGTGTTTTTCCCATGGCTGATTTATTTCATAATGAGACTTTACAGCAGAATGTCTCAGTCCGTCAGTCAGGACTAACGGGGTGGAGCCAAGCCAGTGTGTCATTGGCTGCCAATTCAGCCAGACAAAAGCAATCACTCACAAAGTATGGACACGGTGCTTGTGTGTCCGAATCCGTCAATAATACCTAGCTGCAGACCAGTCACAGGGGTCACTCGGAACTTCTCGGGCGAGAAGATCCCGGGAGACCCGAACGTAGCTATCGGCGCGTAATTTATAGACTCGCGACCAGGTGCGCTACGTGTCACGTGCGTGACTTTGTTTACATTAGTACTCGATCTGTGCAGAGCGCGAGGAGATACATCCACTCTGTTTACTGCCACTGGCAGAGGGAACGAAACAGAACCAAACGATGTGGAAGGATTAACCAATGGTGTTGCAGGTCACACCCACTGGTTTGACTGACGGACTGAGACATTCTGCTGTAAAGTCTCATTTTGAAATAAATCAGCCATGGGAAAAAACACTATTATGAAATAAAAGCTGTCTTTGTTAAAGAGACGTTGTGTAATAAAAATCGAATTAATTAAATAAAAGTAGCTCAATATTAATTTGGATTATTATGAAAAATGACTTTTGAGAAAAACATATTAATAAAGACATTTTAAAAGAAGAATGAAAAATATTTCATAATATTGAGCTTAGATTGTACATAATATTCTGTTATTTCATCATTTCATTGTCAGATTACATGGTTGTCTAGTATTTCTTCATGTGGATATTTATTTCATAATGTCTTATTTATTTATTGAATTTTGAATATTTTTGAGTTCCATACAATACAGGGTAGACTGTACTATATATCACGATATATTGCGATACATTCAGTCAGACAATATTAGCGATTTTCAGACGGAGTTTATAATAGGAAAATTCAATAAACAGTCCAAACTGATACTTAAAGTGACAATGTGTAGTTTTTACACATTGTTTTTACACAATGTGTAGTTTTTAATCTCTGGGATTATCCATTGAAATGTTGTAAATTAATTAAAATTTACCCAGTTGTTGAAAAAATATTGACAGTTTCATAACAAGTAACAATAAAAATTAGGTCTAAAATACATGGGAGCGGGTCTAGGTCTCTGGGCGGCGCCATATTGGATGCCATGTTTTCAACGGAAGCCTGTGAGGACAAAATGCATTTACTGATTTGTAACAAATGGTTACAAAACTTTCAGCATTAATAAATGTTGTTTTTTTTAACACATTTACCTCTTCACTTATTGCAAGTGATGGGAGGGGATCAGATGTTCTTGTTATTTTGCTGGAGGTTGCACTCCCTAGAATTTTTCACCCTAATGGTCATCGGTTGGTAAGGTCTTACTTGAACACAAAAAATTGCTTGCTTGCAATGATTTAGGTATGTACTGCCCCCTATCACTAGGGAAAACACACAATGTCACTTTAACATGATTAACATGAGGTATCTGAACCATGATAGAGGGATTTACATTTCAATGGTGGAAAAAAATCCATTGAACGCTGCTGCCAATTAGCGGTCAGCATTTGAATTGCACCAAATGAAAATAAAATACACAAATGTTTGCAAGTGAATTTCTTCCAAAAATTAGATACACAGCTTTTGAGTATCGATATAATATTGCTGAAAAAAATACCATGATTAGGGATGGGTACCGAATTCTGTACTTTTTAAGGTACCGACCGAGCACCGATTCACGTCATTTCAAACGGTGCCTCGTTTCGGTACCCGTCCATCATAATGAGAACTTGCCAAGACAGCTGCGCATGCGCAAGAGCGTTATGTCGTCGCTCGCTGCGAGCCAGTTGTAAACAGAGCAGCATGGTAGAAAGAATGCAGGCTAAAGCTTGGGTCCACTTCACTAAATGTGATGGGTAACTGGGTGATGATGAAACCAGCGACAACGATCTAAGTGAGACATCCTCATCTTAATCTGCTCTGGTAAGTAAATATAATTAGCTTGATATGTTAGCTTCCGCTTCGCTAATGGTGCGTTTGCTTTCGCCTCGGAACTCCAAATTCCTGACTAGAAGAACATGAACGCGCTCTAAAGTTTGGCTTCACTTTACTAAATGTGACGGGTGAAGACGAAACCAGTGACAACGATCTAAGTGTGAGGCATCATCATTTTAATCTGCTCCAGCAGCTAAAAAAACAGTTTAAGATAATGTTAGCTTGGTATGTTAGCTTCCATTGCTACCATTGTTATCAGCTAATGGTGGGTTCGCTTTCTCCTTGGAAATTCTATCTTCCCAGTAGGAAAAATCAAATGAAAAAAGACGGCAAAAGGAATGAAGATACACAGTAAATTTAGTTCACAGTAAAGATGTTTGCTTCAGTTTAATTATCAGCTTCTAAAACTACAAGGACGATGTTAAAATACAAATAGTTGTATGTTATTTATCGTGATATTTATCAAATATGGTTATATATTGAGAAAAATATATATTTAATTATAAAAGAGAATTAAAATTATTAAACACTCAAAAGTATCGAAAATCGGTACCGTTAAGTACCGGTATCGATTCGTAGGTACCGG